ACGAGGCTCGCCTCGGCGCACGCCGCCTGCCTAAAACACATGGAGCGTTCTCCGACTAAACTTTGGGGCACACTATACAGTGTATATATATAATATGTACATACTTATACATGTATATATATATATATATATGTATCTATTGATCTATATCGGTTGAAGACCCTCGTTCTGCTTTCCAAAGGTGACTAGGCCTTGTGATGAAGGCAACGTCTGCCCCACCTTGCGGCTCTCTGGCACCTCACTCACATCACCAGCTCCGTGCCCAGGATCGGCTGAGTCCGCTTTGTGCAGCTGCTGTCGCAGCCAGCTGTTGTGGCAGGTGAGCTCATCCAACTCGGCCTTCCTGTCCCTTTGGGCCGCAACCTCAGTTTGAAGCCAAGCGATGGCCTGGGATGAGTCCACCAGCTCGCGGGCCACGTTCAGCGCCTTGTGCTCGGTCACCGCACTTCTTCGGTGACTCTCCTCAAGGCGGGTGGCCAAAGAATGCTCCGCCTTCCGCAGCAGTTCGCACTGCTGCAGCTCTGCATCCAACTCCTTCTGAACTTCCGCGGACTTCTGCTCGTTTCTCTCCTGCTCCTCCACAACCCATTCCTTTTGCAAGTAGTTCAGTCACTCTTTGCAGTGGGAGGGGCTGCAAAACCGTGCCTATATTAAGAAAACTTATCCTTATGGCATGCGTCTGTATGCGTCTGTCCTGGCGCTGCTTCTTCTGCTCATCTTCCAGGCGGCTTTGCAGCTCCCTCTCCAGGCGCTTCCCGCGCTCCGCCTCGGCCCCCGCGAAGCGCAGCGCGGCGGCGGCGCCGGCCTCGGCCTCCGCGGCCTGGCCGCGGAGCCGCGCGGCGCAGGTCTCGGCGTGGCGGCAGCGCTGCTCCGCGCTGGCGGCGGCCTGGCCCAGCTGCGCCAGGACCTGCTCCTGACCCGAGGACTTCTCCTGCGCAAAGACAAACTCGCCTACCAAAATCAAACCATTTGTGAAGCTCACTTGGTTTCAACTAGTTGGTTTCAATTGGGGTTTCAAGCCTTCCGTTCGGAAAGGAACTGTGTCCTCGGCGGAGCGCTTCTCTTGGTGCAGCTGCTGGTTGGTTTCGGCGGCCACGGAACGAAGGCTCCGCTCCGAGGCCTCGGCGTCGCCCAGGCGCTGCAAAAACCGGCGCCGGTCCGAGTGCAGCTGTCGCGCCCGGCCGCGGTCGCGGTCCACCACCTCCAAACGAACCAGCCACAGCTCAGAACTGACCCAAAGCCTTTAAATGTTGAGCACCCAAAGAAGACACCATTGGGTCGCCAGTTGGATCCGAGAAATTCCGATCTTCACGGATGGCCACGACCCAGCCTGCGCCAGGCCCGCCACCTCCGCCCGCAGCCGTGCCACCTGGGCCGCGTTCTCCCGGCAACGCTGGTCCAAGGTCCCGCCCTCCGACGCCAGCGCCGCCAGCTCCGGCGAGCCGAAGGCGCCGCCTCTACCAAAAAACACGCCACTGGCTGCAGTTCTTTCCCTTTCCTTCCCCTTCCCTCCCTCTTCCGACTCCCTCAACTCCCTTCCAGACTTCACTCGCTTTTCCCATCGCCTCCCGTCAGCTCCTGGAGCTCCACGCGGTGCCGCTCCACCGCGTCCCCCAGCTCGCAGACCCGCGGGAGCAGCTGGGAGGCGTTGCAGCTGCACCTCCCCGGTGGGCACCGGGCCATGCCATCACATGGCGCTCATAGCGCTTGGAACTGCTGGCAGTTCCCCCGAGCTTTGAGACCGCAGTCCCCCAGATTTCTTTCACTCGTGATCTCATCTCGTTGGTTGCTTGTGAGCGGGCACTTTTGTCCGCCAAGGCACCTACCAGGTCGCAATTGGATGGCATGCAGCAGGCCAGGCGGCATCCTCTTTGGGAAGTGCTGTGCCAGCGGTACCAAACCAACTGTCCTTTCTAGTGTACAAGCTGGCAAGTATGCCTACGAGTGACTTGCACGAGCGAGCTCCAGTAACAAAGGCACTGCTCGCTGATTTGCTTAAGTGAAACTCTGAATGAGCTTGTGACATCCAGCACATGCACGACTGGTAGTGGATCACCTGCCGCCTAAGCAGCCGCAAAGCCGGTTCAAGGGTTGTTCAATTCAATGGTCTTCCATGGCTGAGATCCGTGCAGGAGCACATGCAGCACTCAAGCTTTTCCTCAGGCTCCATTCTGTCGCCGATGGGCCGCCGGTCATCCTGGCCGCTTGTGTCGAGGTGCTCGAGGTCGTGCATGGCGTCAGCCAAACCAAGGCCCTCAGCTCACGAATACCAAGCCATCGCGACATCGGAGTCTTCTATCAATTTCCGAGTGTTCCGGAAGACTCCGAGTGTTCGGATCGGCGGATCGGGTCCCCGGCAGGTCTAAGCGCTTCCTGGCACTCCCCCGCTCTCTCAGACTCGACTGACTCGGCTCGCCTTCTCGGAGGGCGCCGTTGGCTTCTCCTGAGGAAAACAAAATCCACTTAGTGATCAAGAAGTCAATTTGACACCCGTCCTGTTGAACTGGTCCGTCAGTATCTTCCGTGAGCTCCTTTTTCCTCCTCTCTTTCTCCTTCTGCTCTTCCCTTTGCCTTTCTTTCTCCTTCTCCTGTTGCTCCAGTTCCTCTTGCCGCCTCCTCTCCTCCTCCTGCCGTCTCTCCAGTGAGTGTCAAATGCGAGCACTTCAGGGACGTGTTGAACAAGGAAGCCTTTCTAGCATTCCGGCCATGTCCTTCTTGGCCTCAAGCTTCTTTTGCGTTTCCACAATGCCAGCCTGGATGCATCGGATTTTGCATGAATGCCTGCCACAATTATTGAAAGTTATGCGATGCATGCATGTCTTTCGCGCCTGGATCGCAGCCGGGGTGGCATCATGAGAGACGTGAACCAGTTCTGCATCAATGGACCTCGACTGATAGGCTTGGCAACAGGAGAACACACTCGGCTCCACCTTCTCATCTTCTCGAGGATCTTCTCATATTCTTTGTGGTCTCTGGTGTCCATCTGTCACGTTCAGATCATGCCAAACATGCGCACAACAGGCCGGAGGCACCAAATCATGACCATCCTTTGCGGAACATCTCACCTGAGCATCAATGGACCAAGATACTCCATGGCTATGGTCAAGAAACCCCTGGGTTGCCATGGGCATGCTTCCAGCTTCGCGGAACCCTTCATGGCTGTCCAACCCCAAAAGCTGAATGCACCATGGGTGTGCAGCTTGGAGTCCTGACCCTATCTTAGGAAACAATCGGGAACTGATACACCACACAATGTGATACACCACACATTCATGTCAATGTGAAGACCATACACCCATCCACCATTGTCCCTTCCTTGGGGGTGGTTTAAACGGTTTGCAGGTGGGACCCCATGGTCAAAATTGATACCAGTGGAATGTGAGGGCAGTGAGCACGGATGGGATCGTCCTGAGGCGCAAGGCCCAGCCGGTCTTGCCCTTCTCCGTGCCTTCCTCCACTATGATCCTGGCCACTGGGCACCTCGGGAGGCTTTGCCATGAAAAACAAACACGGGTTGCCGGGTTTGGCTTTGGTTTCGAGTTGACACTCGGGTTTTCGCCAGCCGCCCTGCAGCTCCACGTTGTTGGTCTCCTGGACCTCCACCAACCCGCCGGCCGAAACCTCGACGCAAGAGAGTCACAAAGGCCTCCAGTGATAGGTTAGAGACAAACACCCAATAGTTGCTGACTTTGATCACCCAACAAAACAGTCAAAATGATGACCACAATGACCCCAGTCACCAGAATCCTCCGCAACGGCGCGCCGCGCGCCGCGCGCCGCGCGCCGCGGGCCGCGGGCCTTGAAGAGCTCAGAGCTCGCGAGGTCCGAGGTGCTCCGCACCGCGACCCTCTCCAACATGCGGTACGTGGCCCCGGCCTCTCGAAATCGAACCGACTCGAATCGGAACCCAACAGGACCTCGAAGATCCGGACGTCCGGAACTCAAAATCCAAATCCCACCTCCCAGGGAGAGTTGCCGCCTTGCTGGTAGGACTTCCTCACACCGCCGCCTATGGGACCAGCATACTAACAAGAGCCAAGCGTGTGAGTTGCAAGCTTCGGGCACAACAGCCATGCCTCCTGAAGAGGACTGTCTCATGGACTGCTTGTGAAGATCCACCACCTGTGAAACTGAAATGGCACTGTTCTCAGCCTACTATGCGGTGCTGGCCTTGCGGCTGAGCAGATTCACCGGCTCCAGCAAGTGGTCGCCCACCCCGGTCTCCGGGCTCATCCTGGGCCCGACATCGGACTTGGACTTCGCTCCGCCGGCCACGAGGCCCGCGAGGCCCGCGCCAGCCGATCTTGTCCCCAGCGCTCACCAGCGCCCGTAGCCTCGCCTTGCCGTCGCCCACCGTGACGCTGAAGTCCAGCAGCAGGACCTATGTTTGCAGGGCTTGAAGCCAGCGGCTTGAGGCCTTGAGGCAAGGCCTTCAAGCAAACAACGCCCTCGAAAACTGGCAAAAGAGAACATCTGAACCAGCTACAAAATTGCGCCTCTGCACCTGCATTCAGCTCCCCGATCCAGTCGCTGTCTAGCGTTGGGCCTGGCTGCAAGGGAAACAACAAATTTCTGGATACGTCAGCCCCACGCCTGCACGCAGCGTCGCGGGGTTCTGCACGCTGTACCGAGCCTTCAGGTCCCAAGAGCCTCGGGGCGCCCAGTTCACTAAGGAACTGGAACGACTCTGACGACTCTGACGACTCTGACGACTCTGACGACTCTGACGACTCTGACGACTTGTCATGTAGTTTCTCATGTTTCTCGCTTTGCGCTGCAAGCCTGGAAGTTCTGCACGCTGCAGGGCACTCTGCATGCTCTTGCCCCGCAGGTCCTGTGATCAGTCGAAACGACCTCCGGAACTCGCCAGGGCCTTTGTGGCCTTTTGCGGCCTTTGTGGCGCTCTCTGTGGCTCTCTACTCTCTCCCTTCGTTGCAGAAACGTGCCTCCAGCGAAATCCACCCAGCCGGGTGGTTCTCAGCTGGCTGAGGAATCACATAGCCCCGGTGCGCTCCTGACTGCAAAGCTCCCCGTTTTGGGGCGTGCTCTTGGGCAGACGGACAATCGCGCAAGGGCTTCCCAGGACACACCCAGTGTCAAATGTGTTGCTTGGAGCTTTGATATTCAAATGTAGGGGGGATACCGCCAAGGATTGTAAGGGCGTTTGCCCGCCTGAATGATCCGAGACTTGGACCAGGAGCACCACATCCTGTGCGCTTTGGCATGCGCAATTTTGAAAGAGACTCAGAGGCCAGGCCTTCTTGGCGCGGAGAGATGCAAGCCTCGTGCCATCCAAACTCCTGAGCAAGTGAAGCAGTGAGTCCTGAGACTCAGCTTTTTCTGTGTCCCTAGGGGAATGCTTGAACCCGGCAAATTTGCACTAGCTCAGACGTGAAGCTGAGGCAAGGGGCTCGCTGCTCCAAACCTCTAGTGGCCGTGCCACCTTGTAGCGCTTCCCAACCTCACACAAAGCGGGCTTTAGCATGCCCTATATAAAGAATCAGTGGTCCTGGAAGACACTGCGACGCACCACCCAGCCTTGTAGGGACAGCCATCTGTGGGCGCCTCTGGCCTTCGACTCAATTAGTGCGTCTTTCGGCTTTGGGCGCGGACATCTCTCGCGTCACGCCTCTTCCCACCACAGCAGCCCATGGCTAAGTCCGGGCTGGGCTGAGGTCAAGCGGCTGCATCCGAGAGGCTTGGCGCTTGAGGCCTTGACCCTCCGGCTTTGGGCTCTGGAAGGGTTGGAAGTGTTTAGGTTTCCATATGTTTCCATCTGAGCACCGGCCATGAATTCCTTCCCAAAACAGGCGCCTGGGAAGGGAGCACGCACGGCGGATTGCCCCAACTCCACGTCCATCTGGAAGGCTCCGTAAGCCAAGATGGTCGACACCGGACCCAGGGACCACCAGTGGGAACGCTGGTGTCGACCATTTTAGCAACAAAGATATGCGATTTGATTGTGTCAGGCACTGTCGCCCAGACACGTCTGAAATAATCTGCTTGGGGCATTTATTCTGGGACGCTTACATGGCGAACATCACCAGCACAATAGTCTTGTGTTGACCAAAAGTAGGGGTTGTGCTGACAAATCCGGCCCTCCACACAAATGTTTAAATTCCGCGATAAAGGGCAGGGCACAAAGTTGGCTGGTACTGTACTATGCACTAGAGGGACCTCGAGCGAAAGAACGTGGGTTTGTTGTCTACAATCCTTTATTCAGGAATCCAACTGTGGTATCGAGACACGCTTGGGACAGGTGGTGGGCAGCCCTTGAATCAGAAACAAGCGTTGAGACATTTGAGACATCCGAGGCGGACCTTTGGCCATGTCATTCAAAGCGAATAACTTCTGTGTATGAGACACACAGGCGAGGCCTGCGAGCGAGATGCGGCTCGAAGGCCTCTTTTCATTGGCTCACAAAGGTGCGAGGAAGGCCAGCGAGGCAAGTGGCAGCGGCACGTGCTCTTCTGGCTCCTGGAGAAAAAACAAGGGGCGATATGAACGTCACCTGAAATGAGAGGCTCAAGAAGGTCGTAGATTGGGGTCGATATATCTACAGTTGGTTGGCATGTGCTGGTGGTCGTACTTTCGCGAGTGCTTCTTTGTGTGCCCGCCTCTTGCTTTGCGTCGTCCCCCACCGAACGCAAGACTCGTCTGCAGTGGTTGGCTGCTCGCTGGGCCTCTCATGCAAGACTGCACACCTCCGAATCTGCGCAGAGAGAGAGAGAGAGAGAGAAGAAAAAAAAGGGAGAGAGAGAGAGACAGCTCAGAGTCTGTCAATGAGTTCACCTCTTGACCAAACCCCAACCCAGCCAAGGATTGCCTGACTTCAGCCTGTTTCAGGGAGCCTCCTGGCGTGCCGCGCCCCTGGCACTGCGCCATGACTCAGTGGCATCCCGCACACGCGCCAGCTCTGCCTCACGCCACACATCTCCGGCTCTGCCTCAATCCGGGCACCAGCTCGCGCCTCCAGGGACTGCTGGTAGGCGGCCAGACGCCTGGCCTTGCGACGCTTGTGGCGACTTGCGACAACCTCACCCCCCCACGTCTCCTCCTCGGCCATCGCTGCCGTCTTCCTTTGCGCCTCAGCTCCCGAGCTCCAGCCAAGGCACTGGCCCCGGCCCGGGCCCCGGCCCGGCCCCGTCTGTGGTTCACACGCGGCTCAGCTTCTGCGCCAAGGCCTCCTCCTGGCTCTCGGTGTCCTTCGCAGCGACGCTCCGCTCCGCTCCGATCCACGATGCGACTCCTGCAGCTCCGCAGCCGTCCGGCCGGACAAGTCCTCGCGCATAGCCCTTTACATCCATTTCCCCATCTCGATTCAGAACCTTTGCCTTTCCCTGCAGACTACGCACCTGGAAGCGCAGGCAGAATTAACGGGACCGGAATTGCTTCAGCGACCAATCGAAACTGCTCAAAACTCTTCGAGCAGCTCCTGCACCGCCTGCATGCTGGCAGATAGTTCCTGTAGCTGGGAGCGCAATGCCACCTGGCTGTGCCCAGCCAAAGAAATGTGTGTTTCGAAAGCTCCCTGGTAGACGCAGCTTTACCAGAAGACACATTCGTGTGACCATGTTGAGCAGGTGACCAGCCAAAAGTTTCACTGCTGTAGACGCCTGAGAGTGCTCACGGGAGGCATCGATGAGCTGCCAGATCTTGGATCTGTGCTCCTCGTCAGGGAGCACTTGCGGCCATTGCATCTCACTGATGAGCAAATCTGACTCACGCATGCACACAGCGCCACAACGCTTCCAAAAAAGAACTCCCATGCAATGCGATGTGCAGCTAGCGTGTGTGAGTTTCCTTTTCTGTACCCCCGCCAGCTGGCAGGACAGCAGATCGGCACAGAGCTGCTCTCAGCATGGGCACCGCATTGGCAACCGAAGCTGTGCCCTTGCTTCACTCGCAGCTTCAACCAGAGTCTGCTCAAACACCGCGGGTTGATTGCTGCATGTGGTTGGCAATGACATCACCAGTATATATATATATATATATTAATATACATACATATTATCAAGATAGTGGGGAACGCACTCGAAAAGCTGCTCAACCCACAGTGAGTGGTATCATTTTTCAGTGGCCTCAACGTTCTTGTATATAACCAACCGTAAAAAGACACCGCATTCTCTTTTGAAGTTTTTCTGGAGTCACTTGATTTAAACATAGGCCACTCGACATACCTGGCTGATTCTCTGCCACCTCCATGGCCCGGCAGTCCGGTGACAAGGGTCTTGTCTGGAGGTGGCTTCCAAATCAGCCTAACACTTGGATCAGCCGCCTGGTCGGAACCTTGGCAAACGTTTGCACTTGTGAGCCCGAACCTCATACAAACGCACTCACGATGAGAGAGTGGCAGGCAGAACGGAGCTGGGTTCACCAAGCTGCTCACATTCCCCCTTTCAGCTTCACCAAACCCTTGCCATCCTTACCCACACTGAGCCGCACACGACGTTGGCCCGCTTTGCCCCCTTTGGAACGAGGGTGTCCCCGCACCGATCCCCGGCAGATCGGCCACTTGCCCTGGAAACAAACACATCCAGCAAGGTCCCAAAGGGCACGCAGGCCTCGCAAGGAGCCCAGAGCGCCGAAGATGACGCAGTACACGAAATACCTGGACGCAACTGGAACGCACTGGACCGACGACACCGGACATCGGACGGCATCGACACAACGTGGAGGGGATGCAGGAAAATGCTCGCCTGGACCAGATTAGAAATTGGCCCTGGCCTCACGAGCTCAGCACAAGACACGCGCTCAGGCGACAACCTAGGCCAATGACTCGAACACAGCATAGTGGCCGGGGCCAGCGCGCGCCGAAAAATTGCAGGATGAAGTTTGCAGGGAACCTGAAAGTGAGCAGCTGCTCTTGGTCTATGAGCTAGGGTGTATGCAATGGCAATGACAACATGCTTGGACCCACTTGAAACTGGAGTCTCTGCTTGGTTGCCCTGAGGGCTTGCGCCACTTCGGCTCTGCACTTCGGCTTGCTGCAGAGGGGCTGCACCATCATCAAGGTCGAGGCTTGCCGGCCGATGGATCTGGTGAAGGGGTGCAGGGACCTGGGCCACTGGGACGAGAGACACATCCTATCATCGGATCGGACTGAAGTTGGGCAGGGCATACGCCCCGATCGGCCAGATCCCGATGCGTTCGAGGCCGAGGCTTGTTCTTCCCCTGCCACACATTCGATGCCATGGCCAGTCGATCGGACGGACGCGTTGGGTGGCGCACCACGAGGCCGTAGAGCACCACGATGCACAGGAAGTTCGCGGCCCGCGAGGAGTGGAAAGCCTAGGATATAGCATACATCATGGACCCAGTTACGTACAGTAGCAACGTCCACTGGTCTTTTCTGAAATCAGTTCTTGAACACAATCTTCCGGCTATGTCTCCCTCCTGTTGCCCTCTCTTTCTCTCCCACCTCTCCGTCTGGTTGGTTGGAGTTAGGGCCACGGAGCCAGCACCAGCGGCAGCAAAGGCTTCAAGACCATGTCCCGCAGCATCCGCGAGCGTTGAAACAGCTGCAGGCCGTACGGGACCGCCAGAACCTCTCGGCTCGGAACGGGCGAGCGGCATGGCGCTGGGGCGCTGCGGCGCTGGGGCGCTGACCAGGGGCGGCAAGAAGAACATGGCGCCGAAGAACCGCGAGGCCACCTGTGAAAGTGAGAGTTCAGAAAGTTTTGAAAGTTTCCAAGACTTCAAAGACTTTCTGAAGTTGAACTGAGTGGCAGGTGCTCCACCTGCCGGCCGCGCCGCCCTGGCTGGCCGCGGCACTGGCCGCGTGGGCCGGGACACATCGGCCGGGCGTCGGCCGCTCTGCATCTTCTTCACCTGATCCCAAAACGGCCGAAATACCATGTGCCTGCGATGTGCCTGCGGGAATGCGCGGGACTGCCTCTCGGCTCAAGCTGTCGTGAAGGAGCCGGTCACTGGCAGACCTCGACACTTGGATGCAGCTTTCAAGATAGCAAGCGATCCAAGGCTGGGACGACTGACGCATGCTGCGCTGCCTCGCATCCTGAGTGCTCACACGAGACAAGAACATGGCTCATTCCCCATGGCCCCATGTCATGTGAGGCATGCCATGTGAGGGCCACGCCCTCGGGGCAATCAGTCCGCAATGTCTTTGCCATGCGCCTGGATGCACATAGGCTGTCTCGCACGTCTCGCACGTCTCGCACGTCTCGCACGTCTCGCACAGGCTGCGCTTCACCGGCCTGATAGAATGTCCCGGCGAGCTCGCTCCACGGGCCTGGCACGCTGGACGTGCCAGTGACTGAGCTGAGGAAATCAGCCAGGCGGCAATGCTCCGTGAGGACACCTCGATTCCATGGCGCGGCTTCGAACTCCAAGGCGCGTGGCAACATACCTTTGAGGCCGCCGCCAAGTCACAGCACTCAAGGCCATCAGTGACAAGGCATCAGAGGCGTGATGGTTCAGCTTTGTTAAAGTCACCAACATACAGTGCAACAGTCTGATTTAGGCATCTGGGGGTGAGGTGCTGGGATCATTGCCGCAAAGGCAAGTGGCAGTTTGCAGTGTTCATGCAAGCTTCAAATGTGAATGCTTCAGATGTGCGTATCACAGTCAGAATCAAAGCCAGACTGCAGGACTGCATCAACAAATCCACCCACCCCAGGAAACAAACCTCAAAACACGAAAGTCAGTCGCCAGGTTCCTTCTTGTGGTATTGCGGCAAGAAATGCAAAAACGCCTCACCAGCCAGATGAGGGCAAGGCTCCTCGGCCCGGAGCTCCGCCTGCAGCACCTGCAGCTCGGACTGGGCTGCAAAGGCCTTGCCGTGGCTGGCGCGTCTGGCGGCGGCCTCGGCGCGGGCAGCGGCGGCCTGGGCGCGCAGGTGGCGCGCCTGGGCTCTGAGGGCCTCGGCCGCCTCCGTGGCCTCGGCCAGGTGGCGGCTCTGCGCCTCTCGCGCCTCGCGCCGTCCAGGGCCCCCCGCTGCGCGTGCCGGGCCCGGCGCCGCCACGAGTGCAGCCGCGCCCGCGCCCGCAGCTCCCGCAGATCCGTGCACCGCGCGATCTGCCGCTCCGCCAACACAGCCACCTCCTCGGCTAGCTCCGAGGTCTCCTGCCGCACTGCCGCCACCTCCTCGTGCAGCGCTGCGTGCGGATCCCGAACCTCCTGCTCGAAGACGGAGTCCATAAGGCTCAGGTCTTGCTGAAGGTTGGCCTCCCGCTCCTCATCCAGCAACTCTTGGACGCGTTCGCGGTTGGCGCGGCACTGGCCTGCGCACTCGGCGCTGGCACGGCCCGTGGCCTCCAAGTCTCGTCTCAGTGCCGCCGCTTCGGACCGTGCGCGGGCCAGCCGCCTCCGCAGGGCCACGGCATCGCTCTCCGCACGCTCCAGCCCGAAGTCTGGCAAGCGCGGGGAACTGCGTGGGCTCGGGCGAAGGCTTGGGCGCAGGCTAGATGGGCGCGAGAGCGAGCGCGCTGAGAACCTGGGACTGGATTGCGAGAGGCTGGCGCTGGGGCTGCGGGCAATGGGGCTGCGCGAGTGCAGCTGGCTGTAGCCGCGAGCCGGTGAGCGCGAACTGCGACTCGCCCGCTCTGGCCGGCATCGGGGGATCCTGTGGCTTCGGGAGGCTTACTGAGTTGCGATCTCCATTTCCAACACAGCAAGCCCGGCCTGGGTGAGGCACTGGAGCTTCGAGCCCGTGCATCCATTCACGTAGGGCTATAGCCCTTTAGCTCCTAGCTGGGTGCAAGCTTCGATCCGGTGGGATGAAGCGGCTGCTCTGTAGAATTGCTGCATGTATGAGGTGTGGCTCACTTTGTCTCCTAGCTAGTCCCACATGCCGACACAGTGAAAAAACACTCACACTTTGTCGCTCTTAGTTCACGAGTTGCGGGACAAGCAGTGCGCAGGGTCATTGCTGTGCTCCCCTTTTCGGACTGGTCCCTAGCGGCCCTAGCACAAAGTCTCCCCGTCTTGAGGATAGAAGCAAGCGCCCGCATTTGCCAAAGCACCCCTTGCCAGCTTTGAGCCAAGCGCTCCAATTCCAGCGGAGCTTCTCTTGAAGCTCTTGATGCAGTCTGACATAGTCACTAGTCACTCACTCACGGCACTTTTCATTGGAGCGAGATCTGTCTGGCCTGAAAGGTCTGCACAGGCTATGTACAAAGAGGCAGTGCAAGCGCCGGCATTTTACCATTCAAACGCATCCTTGGACAAGCCTTCCGAGCCGGTGCGAGCAGCCCCTAATGGCAGACTCAAGCTCCGATTTCAGACATAGCTCAAGGCGTGCCCATGCCTCAGAGCCGAGACCAGATTGGTCTCATAGATTCCTTTCAGACAGTCATTCCCAAAAAACCCGTTCATTCCCTGAGCACCAGCAAGTAACGTTGGAATATGAGCCGGTTTGTTGGCTGGGGATTGCTAACCAGCGCGGCCATTCAACATGGCTTGGGGGTTCGTTGATAAAGCCATTCTTAGAGCAATCTCCTTTGGGGGGCCCAGGTGAACTTGCAGAGTATGTACCAGAATGGGGTTGAATATCCTGAAAAGCAAAAACAACAAAGCGGATGCCTTGGCGTGGTCACAGAAATGCTGGTTCAAACAGGTGGAGTAATCAAAGCCTTCCCACCTTCTCAAACTTTCGAACGTTTGCGCTTTCGAGTTGTTCGTTAGCCCTGGAAGGGGTGAATTCTGGCTCAGCCATACGTGCCCCCCCCCCCAAAAAGAGAATGCACAAGTTGCTTCAAGCTGTCAATCAAGGGGGCCGGAGAAAAAAAATGGGGGTGCTTGTTTTCGTTTCCGAAAGAAACCCATTTAAACGAGTGACTCCAGACTGAGGGTTCTCCGGGAACTGAGCCCGCTCAGTGCGAGTCCAGATGCCGACAGGGGGGCTGTGGGGGGGGGGGGGCAGTTGCGCCGTTTGAGAGTTGGAACGTAATGACAGAATCCCCCTCATAGCTCGCTGCTCAAGTCATAGATTTGTAGGAGATGTAAGAAGTGAAAGGCATGGACATGGTTTTAGGCTGTGCGCTGGCACATGTGATCTTGCTACGCATGTCTGGCCTCCAGTGTCCCATGGTTGAGCTGGCTAAGTTCTGGGACCCTCGATTCACTCTTCCGGAACTGGATGATCACCACATCGCATTGACTTTGCCTGCGGACACTGGCGGGATTCATCAGCTTGTGCGGCATGCGATTCTGATAGAAGCACGCGCAGGTGGCTTGCCGTGGACAGCTCTGCGTGCAGCGGCACCCATGTTGGCGGCGCTGACCTCCAGAGCTGTTTTGCAGAGGCCGAGTGTGACAGCAGCGGCTGCGTGGACCGTGCTGTTTGGCCGTTGTGCACAGCGCTTGCCTCTGGTGCAGGCAGAAGCCTTTGATGCGCCTGCCACAGGCTCTTTATCGGTGCCCTTGCGCAGATGGCGTCGAGGCGTTCTTGGTTCGCAAGGCGGCCCCTCAGCCCCGCCTATACTGAGATGGGCTCGAGGTGTGCTTCATCCGCCAGGCGATTCTGAAATCTTGCACCTAGACAATGAAGCTGACACAGGAGACCCTGTGGCAGACTCCATGCAGCCGCAGTGCTGTCCGGATGATGATGATGATGATGATGATGATGATGATGATGATGATGATGATGATGATGATGATGATGACGACGCAGACTATTTGCTAGAGTATTATGCTGAGTATCAAGCATGGGTGACAGACAGGCAAACTACCTGTGATGATGGTGTGGCATGTGACATTCCAGAGTGGGCATTTCGTCAGTTCTGCCCGCCTGTCAAGAGGAAGCTTCAGTCTGCAACGCGATGGGGCCGATGCGGGTACCCACATTGCGGACGCGCGTTTCGGCCATGCCTGGGATCTAGAGGTCCGTTTTGGAAATGTGGTCGCAAAGCGTGCAGCAATAAGAGAAACCTTACCTCCAAAGAATGGAGAACTCTTCCTAGAATGTGGCTTGAAGTGTGGCCAGTCGAATGGTCCAGAGTTCGGCCGTGGAACCGGCCTAAAAGGCCAGTGGATTTTCTTTGAGAGAACGGAACCAGCATTTGCCTGAACTTGCCGTTTGCTTTTTGCTCTGTTCTTGACCCCGCTGTGTCCGTGCGTTTTTTTGGGCTCGAGCAGCTTTGGTTTGCTTGCATGACTTGCTACGCATGCCTGTGCTTTCGAAGCATGCGCTGCTGCAGGCAAATCCGAAGAGGCGGTCCCGCAAGGATTCTGCAGCCACAAACAAGGAGTTCAAAGAGCATGGCTTGAAGTATTCCACGGCATCCACTCAAAGTTCTGTTGAGCAAGGCTTGCGAGGTTTGAAGCAAATTTCGTACCCAGAGCTCTGCGCTTGGAGCAGCCAGCGCTGCTGGAAATACCTCATGGACCACGGAGTTCTGAGCGATGAGCCCCCACTGTGCTACTCGTGTCTGGAGCAGATGGCGCGCACTTTCAGACTGGAGAATGCATCCTTTGCATGTGGTACCAAGGGCTGCTATGCTCACCCTGCCATAACCTGGCCAAGAGAGGCCTTCACACCATTGCATGGCCAGGCGAGGCAGAGTCTCGTCTTGTAACATTTCGTCTTTTCCATTCTTTCTATTTCCTTCCACTTGACCGAATGTGTTTCACATGCCATGCTCCAAGGAATGGAGAGCCCGACTATACAAACTTTTTGCGTCTCTGTTACCTCGTTGGACTCAAGACGGCACCTGATGCTCTTCCTCACATGCTGACTGGCGTCCACAGGGGCCGCGTCTTGCAGCGGGCTCGTGATGTGCGATTAGCGCTGGCCACAGCGGAGTACTGCGATAGCTTGGACTTCTACTTCGAAGATGGGGCGCTAGAATATGATACAGCTTCCACTGCAATTCGGAGGTCTCCGACCACTGCAGAGGTGCTACTTGGATGCAGCTGGGGTACATCATATGCAGTGAATGTTTCTGGCTGTTGATTTCTTCTTCTTCAAATGTTAAATGTTGCAAGCGTGGAAGCAAACAAGGAAAGCAGCTGGAAAAGCTCGACAGCAGGTTGAGTACT